TTTAAACGAAGAACAAATGAATAACCCTTAACTCAAAAAAATAATTCCAGAGTTCAATTAAATAATATTGATACTTAAAATCCACATAATCTCTAAATCTAAGGTTTTTAAAATGAAAACAAGTAAACGAAGAGAAAATATAACAGAATAATAACTTCAGCTCTCCATACCTGTAGGTTCTGAATCCTCGCAGATTTAATCAACCATGAATTGAAAATATTTTGGGGAAAAAACCCAATAAAACAATAAAGAATACAAATTTAAAAGCAATATAGTATGACAACGATTCACATAGTATTTACATTGCACTAAGTATTATAAGTAATCTAGAGATGATTTAAAGTATGAGGAAGTGCATTTATATGCAAATACTGTATCATCTTAAAACTTGAGCATACAAGATTCTGGTACTTGAGGAAGCAGTCCCCCATATCTAGGGATGACTTTATATCATGATATACAAAGGAACAACTTCATACCTTATAATCTTGTGGGTGGACAGTAAAATGTGTTTTCTATGTACATCTTCAAGATTCTTCTACTTAAAATTACTTTTGCAGTGAAATCAGTCTGGTCATTCACATCAACAAATCTCTTGATTTTTAGACATAAATAAAGATATCTTTTTCTGTTTTTTTTCTCTCTCTTTTTAAAAAAATGTTACTTCTTCTGATTTAGAGTTTTGTTAACCTCAGCAACATTGTTTCCTCGAGTTTTTAGGCAAAAACATACTGGAAAGTCTGCAATATTTTTCTAATGTGCTTATGCCACGTCTTTTAAGACTCATCTGTATGACCCAAATCTGTCCAGTGTTTGCACTTGTCATATATTTCTCAAGTATTATTTTGGAGATTTTCCAGGCCCGCAGTGTTCTTGGTCATACAATTTTCCTTTATCTTTCCTTCTCTGTTTTGTATCCTTACTTTCTCCATGTATTTTTAAATTAACAATATTTTTAACCTGTGGAACCTTTTCAGGTTTGACTGAATATTTTTGGCGCCAGAATAGTAGTACTTATATCTTTAGATCCTAAAATCTGAAGAAGCATCTTGGATGAATTCATAGCTGCTAAATTTATCAAGTGACATTTTCAACTCTGTTTAGAATGGATTATTATCAGATCAGTAATCAATGAATAATAGCAAATGATGCAGAATCCTAAACATGTCTTGTTCTTTTTTCTCGCTGTGCCTCATGTATATTTATTAGGAAACACCTCGATGATTTCTTGTGTACACACCCTGTCACTATTGTAGGCTATTGTATCATAGAATTATACTCCATGTATTTAATTCAAAATAAACATATTTATACAATAATACTAGTAGACATTAATTTGTTCTACATTAACTTTCTAGAGAATAGACATTTTATTAATTTAATATGGAAATAAATGAGTATACCTAAATCATAGTAAACCTTAATGTATCATATATTTTAGTCTACCTATCAAAATTTTTTGAATCCATTAATATAAAATGTGAAAAGTGAAATAAAACACTTGGGCCTTTTGGACGGCAGAGGGTAGGAAGAGGGAGAGGATCGGGAGAAATAAGTAAAGGGTACTAGGCTTGATACCTGGGTGATGAAATAACCTATACAACAAACCCCCATGACACAAGTTTACCTACCCAACAAACCTACACTTGCACCCTGAACTTAAAGTAAAAGTTAAAAATATGTAAAAAACAGTTAAAACATACTAAAAATTAAATTACACAGAAATTGTGATAGTGCTTCTTGCTTTATTTTACTCATGACATATTATAATGTTAATATTTGTTTTCATATATTTCCTTTGGTTATTTGTACACATTATTTCATATGTCTTGGTATTTGTAGTTTCTCCAAACAAAAATATTTGAAAAAGTGCAATCAGACATTGAAAGACAAGTATCAGTGAAGTATATTCATAGGCAGAGATAGGACAAATAAGGAAAAAATTGATCAAATATAAAAGTCATAAAGTTATGAAAAAAATGAGCAGGTGAAATGAAAGAAAATGATTTGAGAGTACTGAATGTAAAAGTATGCATTTAAACCATGATATTCTAACCTAATTTCTAAGTATATATTTATATATTTATATATATATATATATATATAGTTGTGGTTCATATATCTTCAATATTTTCTTGTGGAAACAAACATTGAGATTACATAGCATAAATTTTAAAATAGATTTTTTCCTCAGTTACCATTATTTATTTGTTTTATCTTACATTTAGTGTACTTTTTCAGTTATCCCATGGCTTAGTTTGGAATGGACATCAACAGGAACAGTTTACATGAAAACTTTGTTTTAAAAAGTCTCTATAGTTAACTCCTGAAGACATAACCATGATGACATGACCACATCTTTTGTACAGATTTTTTGTTAAGAAAAATTTAAACCCCTCACCTCTGAATTTCGTACATTTTCTTCATGTATTTTATAGAATCAAAAAAGGGAACATAAATATGTGTACTGCAATTGTTATTTGTGGCAATAATAGAACTAAATTAACTCTCACAAATCTATTTCAGATCTACTGAATTTGAGCAAATCATGCCTTTGTTAATTGACTTTGATGACATTACTGAAGAGTATTCCGTATCTTCGATGTATTTTTTGAATTTTTTTTATTCTAGCTGTAAAACCAGATATACCTTTGGTTCAATCCTGTTTTTTCTATGCACTAACAATACAATCTCGTACAAATTACTCAAAATCTCTGACTTTATTTTTCTAATAGTTAAAATGAGTATAATGTCAATGTCATGGAGCTGTTACAAAAACTAAATGAGTGGCTATACTTTCTGAATGCCAGTTGCCTCAACCTGACTTTGTTTACTCTTTTTTATAATGCAGTGATACAACCCAAAAATATGAAAATGGCACATTGGAAATAAATGATAGTGGAATATTTTGAGTACTCTACTGTTAATTATGTAAGTAAATGGGAAGAGTGCAGGGAGGATATTGATGTCTTGCTTTTCTTCAGCAGAGCTGCATTTAACATAAAGGGGAGTCATTTTATTGAATAATAAAAGACTGACAATCATTGTGATTGGCTGACAGCCATTACTGCAGTGTAATTCTAAATAGCTTGTTTTTCAAAGTTCTTCTTGAACAACTCTTTAAATTCCAGACATTGCCCAGCCTGGTTGAAAGGTTCAAAACTCATTTTTAAAGTGAAGTTTTTCACATTTGAATACCACTGTGATATGAATGATGGAAAAAGATATGCATTAAAATATTTTCTTCTTAAATGTTTAGATCAGATATATTTTCAGATGGAAGAGAAAATGTGGAAAATTTAACAAACCAACTTTTAAATCCTAGATAAAATTCATTCAGGAGTTATGGAAGAAAAAGATCACGTGTAAAGAGATCTTACTTAAAAAAAAAAAGTCCAACATGTTTTACAGTGAAAGCACAATATTTGATCTGTATTAACCAGCTTAAAATCCTGTGATTTCCGAGTACAACTCAAGGCTTCCAAAGTTATCAAATCCACTTTGATGTATTCATCTCTCTCAGTCAGTATTTCTAATCAACAATCCTCCCTGGAAAGTATGTATAATAAGTGAGTGTACAGTTGGCAACTCACCAAAATAAATATTTAATGACATTTTAATGGCTATTTTAAATCTCGTTTATTTAAATTGCGGCTTAAAACTTTATTTGGCCAATGAATTTCTAAGCACAATGTTTGAGAACCATATTTGCTACTGAAGCTCTGTGTGAAGGATGTGTACTTAATTTTCAGAATGTCGAGGTTAGATCATCTCTGATGGAGGCATTTTATCTGAAACGTCAGCATTGGAAACCTTGAGATAAAGATCGGAAGCAGGAATCTGTGAAGTGCAGAATTGTGTTAACTGCTCATTCTCAAACATAGAGATGCCAATTAATTCCACACAACCTAGATTCAAAGCAGCACAGGGAAATGGTCCTGAGGTGAGTATTGTACAAAAATGAAGAAAAATAGATGCGTTCCAGCGTCCACAAAGCTGATTCTTCAACAGGCAGTAATAGAAGCCCAACCCACCCAGCGATTGCCTGATGGCATCTTTGTTCAGGCGATCGATCAGCGCCCTAACCCAGATGCTGGGTGAAGAAATTCCTCTCCCACCCTCACCTTCAGAATCCACTGCTCAGCCACCTGGGTTCCCGCGGGGTGCGCCACCGCCTCACTGCTAGTACACGTCTCCCCCTCTCGACCGCCAAGTGCTTGCTCCCTCCAAGCGAGCACTCACACAATGGACTCACTTGTTTCCCTTGCCCCTCTCCTTTGACTTCCAGCCTCAACCAACAACTTGAGCAAGAGTCAAGCAGGAGTCTCTGCCATAGAGCATAGACCCGTAGAGCTTTCCAGACCAGCTCAGAAGCACGCGCGCACACACAGACAAAACAAACAATGCCTGGTCCACGAATGAATAAATTGAAGACGCTCATGCCCCCACCCAACGCTCCGCAACCCGCAGAAATAAACCCGGGACGGGGTTTCCTAAATAACAGGTTTTGTTGTGTCTTTCAAACTGCAAGCATTCCCCCTTGAAGACGGCGAAAGAGAGGCTGTGCGTTCAGTTGGCAATAAAGATTGACGGTGGCTTTGCCCGTGACAACGCCCCCAGCATCGCGCTGAGCCAGGTTCCCTGAGAATCGGGAGGAGGAAACGCAGATCTAGGGAGGAGGAAACAGCAGAGGCAAAGGGAGCTTGGGAGGGATGGGAAATGGAAGATCGGGGCGCGGGGGGGGGGGGGGGGACACAACGATGAGTGAATCTGGGCTTGAATAGTAAAACTTCCAGAGAGAAGAGAATGGGATCTCTCCCCAGGTGAGATCTCTCCCCTCGAGATAAAATATAGATGAAATACACAAGGAAGTGGCAAGCAACAACTTTCAGGTGAGCAGCAAGTTGTGCACCTCCTCTCAAGGCGCTGGATCAGCACCCTCTGAGCTGCCCCCACAGCACACCCTCCCAATCCGAGGCGGCGGCGGCAGCAACAGAGGCAGCAGCAGCAATCGCGGCAGCGGCGGCAGAGGCGGCGGCAGCTGCGCGCCTCGGGCCCAACCCCGCTCGGCTCCCCCTCTCGCCGGCGCCCTGCCTGCCTGTCTTGCGTGTGCGTGTGCGTGTGCTCAGCCTCAGCGTGAGGGGCACCTGCTCGTCTGGGCTCACAGCGGAGGCAGCCTCGCCGCGAGCTGCCGCTGCCGCTGCTGCCGCCACTGGTGCTGCCGCTCGCAGGCGCCAGGCTCCCCGTCGCCGCCGCCGCCGCCGCCGCCGCCGCCTCGCCAGCCAGAGTTGGGCTCCGTGGGCTTCCCCCCTCGCAGCCTCGGTCCTTCCCCGCTGCCTGCAAGTCAGCCTGGCTCCGAGTCACGTGTCAGTGCCTGAGGCAGAGACTGCGAGGAAAAAAACGCGCTTCATTCCTTCTTCCACCGCCATACTGTATTTTATACTAAATCTCATTTTTATTACAACATTTTACTCCCGCTCGGTGAGTACCTTCTCAGTGGCATTCTTGTCCTATTCTTTTTTTTTTTTTTTTTTTTGTTTTTTTTTTGTTTTTTGTTTTTTGTTTTTGTTTTTGTTTTTTTTCTTTTTTTTCCACTTCTTTGATTATTGTTTATATTTGGGAAAGCTGGAGGAGCATGATTTTGAGCCTTTTCCTGAATCCAAGTTTTTCTAGCATGCGATCGTTCTGTAGACAAGGCGCTGTGTCTCGGAGTCCGCGGCGACCGTGCCCGCTGGGAGCGTCTCCCAAGTCCAGCAAAATGTGCAACTGGTTTTATGGAAAAAGCGATGTGAAGTATGGTGCCTATTTTTTTCCTTTGTAAAAATAAAAAGCATGTTTCTAACTCTTTTTTTTGCATACTCTTTTTCTGATAACATTTTTGTATAGGTGGGATTTTACGGCAGTGTTTACAAGTTTGTGGTCTTGCAATACTGGTGCAAACCACTGAGCAAAGACATTAATTTTATATTTTTGTGCCCTTTTTGGAAGCCGGTGAGAACAAATTCGTTTTTTTCCCTCCTGTTTTTGATACCCATTGATAACATGAAACTTTTCTTACAGCTGGTGACTGGGATCATTTTTAAGCAAAATACTTTTTTCCTCCTTTAAATTAACTATGACTTTTGCACATTTGACTTTTTTAAAAAACCGAGATAATTTTATGATAGATATCCTGATATCTATATCTATATTGTCCCTTATTTCTCCCCCTTCCCTCCCCGTAAATCAATTTTCAAATGATGGCAGTGGAAGGTTTTTCTGGAAAAAAAAAAAAAAAAAAAAAAAAAAGAAGTGCGGTTTGGTTTCCTTGTCAACGGAGGATGAAGTGAACAGCTGAGCAGCTCGCAGAGAGCAGGTACTTGGTCCCCTTGGAGGCGTTTCCCGGGTGTGCAGTGGCAACACTGGTCCTAGCAAAGAAATGTGTGAGTGTGAGTGTGTGTGTGTGTGTGTGTGTCTGTGTTTGCGCGCGCGCATCTCCGGGCAGTGTCCGCGCCCGAGGTGGGGAGAGCCGCGCCGGGAGCCAGGGAAAACCAAAGTCAGTTCCTGGCTTCAGGATCGTTTTCTAGATGTGCACAAAATACAGTCCCCCCCCCCCCCCCCCCCCACCGTGAGCTGCGCCCAGGTTGTCTCCTGGCGGGGCGGGTGGTGTCTGCGCTGCGGGCGGCGCCGGCCGGGCACTAGGTGGCCAGCGGGCCCTGTAAGTTCTCCGAGGGCCACTTGCACAGCAGGAGGGGCGAGGGCCGTGTACGTGGCAGGGGACCCCCAGAGCACTCGGGAGATGGGGGAAGAAGCGGCAGAGACCGCATCTTCCGGAGGGACTGACTCCAGGCCACGCGGGCCGGAGCTCGAGACATTTCCAGAGCCTTGAGGATGGCACCGGCCCTCGCACGCTCAACTCCTGCTCCTCCTCTTCGCAATGAGTAAACGACGCAGTAGGTCTTTCCCAGCCTATTTTGCTTTTCCAAAGGGCTTTGCTTTCTTAGTGTTGCTGTCTTTGGATCTTTTCTTTATGCCTGTTGTGTTGCGTTGGTTTTAAGTGCCTGCTGGTGTCGTCTTCCAGGGAATGGGGAAATAGTTTCTTATAAGATGGTCACTTGGGTTTAATGTTGAGGACGACGCTGTTAGTTTGCAGTAATGACCCTACAGCTCTAAGGTATAAAAATGCCCCTTATTTAAATTCTATTAGATGGAGAGTTTTCCCTCTTTTTAACCACCTGATACTGGCTCTAAAGGTTTTCCCCTGAGAACTGTGTACAGGGCAGGAGTGAAGGGTTGGTGATAGAGGTGATGATTTCGTGTGTTGGTAGCATTGAAATACTCAGTGTTGAATGTGTTCTATTATATTTTATGATTATCCTGTTACATGTTTTCAATATAATTTAGCATTACTTTTCAGAGATGGACCAGTTTGCAGTAAAAAGCCTTTTCTGTATTTAACACTGTGACAGAATCTGCTGGAAGTTTTTCTGTCCAAATAAATTTCGTAAAGGCATACATCTTAAAATCTAGAGAGTCATCATTATTTAAATACTTTGATTTTCTTACCTTTTCCCCCCTTAAATGAAAAGCTTAGCTTTAAATTATCATGTGTAATATAGTTTGGATTCTGTAAAATAAACATAAGGCAAATGAAACAACTTTTTACCTCTCGGATGAAGTTTTCTTCTGGGTAACTACAGAAATAAAAACTGACTCCAACATACAGAGGGGCCCATGACAAAGGGGTTTATAACATACACTGGCTTTTTCAAGCAAATATTTCACTGTCTGTAACCTCAGTTTGTGGAATGAAAAGTTTTATGCCTTATTTTTTACTCTTTGTGGTCAAAAAGTAAGGAGTGCAAAGGGCCATTTATCTGTAGAAGATTAAAAGTTAGTGTAATATCTGGAAAGCTATATATATTTTTTATTCACAACTCATGCAAGTATCTCAAAAGTCTTTTGGACATTTCATTGTATGTGAGGTATTTTGTTCTCACAGTAGCTTTTCCCTGTGAAGGAAATCCTGTTGCATTTATATAAAGAAGATAGTTTATGTCACTGTCTGTGGACACTGTATTTGATATCTTGATGTGTATAGTTCTAAGATTTGAAGCCAATATGATGGCACTAAGCCTGAAATTAGGATTTTCTTATTTTGTATAGTGAGCTAATTACTAAAATATATGGTTCAAACAGCTAACATATGGTTGAAACAGCTAACATAAAACATTTAAAAAGCCATTTGCAACATTCTGTGATTTTAAAAATCATTTAAATTATAACGATGTATGTACATAGAAGTGCTTATTTATTAAAAAGCAAGACAATTTATGTGTATAATATATTTTTGTATGTTTTATGTGTTGTATGTCGTTTAGTTCTTTTAAGAGAGAGAGAGAGACAGAGCAAGCAAGCAAGAAAGAGCTTGAGTGATCGAACCTGCATTTTCATTAAGAGAATCAGTTGCTGCCCTAAGGTGGAGGTAGTTTGTGTCTTAAGATTGGGCAAAACACTAGCTGTATTGTATGATCTTTCCCAATGAGATTGAAACCATTAATGGGACCAAAGACGATTTTAATGTGAGGACAGAGAGGTAGTTGGGCTTTAATTTCTGTAACTTAAGACCGTTCTAAGAACCTTTAGTTATCTATGTTTTCATTTATTTAAGATTCATTTTTGATTATATTGTATACTTGTATTACATTTGTGCCTATTACATTCAAAATTTTCAAATTTCTTCCTGTGTGAATCATACTGGGAATTCTACAACTCTTAAACTGGCCACCTGTTTAGTTTTTGATTTAAAATTGTTGAAGGTAGTATCCTACATTTAGCACCGCCTACTGGCTTCTCGTGGAAAAAATACATTTTTTCATTCGCCAAGAAACCCACAGTGATTTACATCAATTTAATTGTGCAGATCTTTTCAACTGCTTACTGAGAGAGAAGGAGGGAAACAAAGTTTGTATGCTGTAAGGAGAGAGGGTTTCCAGGGTAAAGGTAGGGACCGAGGGAAAGAAGACCCACAAATTAAATTGGCATTGGATCGCTATCTGACCTCAAACATTTTACTGTCTAAACTGTGACAAAGAAATAATCACAAAATGAAAACCTATTAAATTTTCAAGGACTTTCTATGGGATAATAAAATGTGGGTATTGTTTAGAATCTTGGATTACTAAATTAATTTTACAGTGTCTTTCTCAATCGATATAAAGAAAGTTCTAGTTGGAATTCTGTCTTGAGTGTGTGGTCTGTCGAATAATATTTAAATGAATAACTTTTCATCATTGAAGATTAACAATTAATTATTTTTATATGTATTTTTCATGGACATAATCACGTAGCACCCTAATTTTTTTCTTAACATGCATCAAATAGCCACACTGTGGTGTTGTATATACAAGGGAGGAAAGTTCCAAACATACAATTATAAAGACACATCCTTAGCCATAATAGATGCATTACCTTTCTTAAAAATGATAGTTGGTTTATTTTCTTTAATTTGTATGAAAGTCTAGTGGCTGAAAGAGCTACTATAATAATACAAACAAATGATGCCTTCAGAATATAAAAATTATTAATTAGAAAAATAATTTGACATGCTAAACATTTTCTTCCTAGTTAAAAGAAATGTGAAATATTTGGATAGCTGTTTCTTAAATGCCGTATTTACTTATTTTAAGAGCCAACAGTAAGTATATAGAAATTCCAGTGAGAAGTATATGTCTGTTGCATTTTTGCAACTCTATGCCAGTAAAAGTGTGGTCATATTTTGTTTACTGTTTAGTGATAGTGTAAGCAACCAAGCAGGACATTCATTGATATGACTACATTTCAAGTCTTCAAAAAACTCCATTATGGAAGTAGAAGAGAAGTGAAGTGGATATGTAAGATTGAATATTAAGAACAAATTTGAGAAAAATATTTCAATTACAATTGATTTTTCTCTCTGACTTTTGAAACTTGAATTTTTATTTTAGTTATTTTTATTTTTTCTTTCCAACTTTTAGTTTCAAGGGGTACATGTACAGTTTTGTTACACGGCTAAACTGCATGTCACAGGGTTTGCTGTACAGATAGTCTTATCACACATGAAATCTTTATTTTTAAATAACGATTAGCTGAGATTTAAAAATAATTATTTCTTCTTTTATCATACTGTCATTATGACAATTCTGTGTTTTGCTATGAAAACCTGAAGTAATGATTAATTTTATTCTTCAAATTTTTATGGACTTCCAGAAAGTAAATAATAACATGTTTAAAAAGGTCCTTATCAATCTGCAGTTATTGTTATTATTCTCTTATTACTATTACTATCTACTTCCAGTGACTTGTACAAATGCTTGTAAAGATCCTATTTCTATAATTCAGTATGATTCTTTGATTTAATAAATTTCTGTTCAGTAATTGGCAGGCAATATAAACTTTCGTTTTATTGGCAATAAAAAGTTTATTTTGCTACATCATGATTTTGAAAACAATATTCAATAACATGTAAGCAAACCTGATTTCTGAATGTATCAATAGCAAGTTACACTGTTAACAAATTTACATAATTATACTTGTCATCACCCTTCCTTTTATTATTAAATTTTGATGTGCAGACTATATAGATACAACACAGCTGTTGCCAACTTTAGTAGTTTTGCTTATCCTCATTGCTTTTAGATTTTCCATCATACATTGGTAATTTTGTTTTCTTTTGTTAGACTTATGTTAAATATCAAACTTACCTTGTGGAAAATTGACTTTGTGTTTTTCTAAATTCTTCTGTACATTTAAAATTATTTTTGTTTGTTAGTTTTGAATTATCTTGCTATTTTTCTGGGACTGAGTCCTGGAAAATAAAGAGGCATTGGTTTAATATCTTTTTCTCTCCATTTGTAGCCACAGAGATGGCCGTTGGAGGACTTCAGTTGTAGTATTTAGGATTTATATTTTCTGGACTGTCCTTGCAGACTCCTCAGCTGGGGTCAAGACTCTAAGAGTTGTTTATTTGATCACGTAAAAATCTAAATGGAGAGGAAAGTTGTGGAGTAGAACGTAGAAGTCTTGCACTGGTCTTCTGAAAGATACAATAACATGCATCACTCAGTGCTCTTATATCACAGAATACTAGAGATTTTCTGGGCGCAAATATATTTGGCAAAATTCCATTTAACTCACTAATATACTTTTTGCTTAGAATAATATGGTAAAATTCTTCCCCAGACTTCAGAGTGGGAATTAATTGCATTCATACATAATCCATGTGTTTAGAGAAAATGTTTATGCACATTTTGATAGCCATATGCTAAATAATAAGAGAAGCAAGACATTTCTGAGTCATTTCAGAAATTATTAACAGGTGGGAGTAAGGAACGGCTATGTTTTCATTAAATCAAGATGAGAGGGAAAGAAATTGATGTGTCAAATTAATGCAATTCCATTTGTACTTCCCCTCCATTATTAGATAATATTATTATTTTATATGTTGGAGGAAACTGAAACTTGGAGCTCAGAGCTCCATAAGTGGTAAAGGGAAATTTGACCTACAGGAAGTCTTAACTGACACCTCATGTTTTTTCTTCTACACAGAGATGCTTCATTTGTGGAGAGGATTTTTTTGTTTGTTTTGTTTTTCCTAATATAAAACAACTGTTATATATTTATTCTTGATACATTCCTTAAAATGTCTGTAGTTTGGCAAGTTTTCAATAGTGAGTGCTTTCCACTAGTGAGTGCTTTGAGCAGAAACAAAAGAAAATTGCCCCACACAGATACTGTTAACTGATCCTGAAAGGACCTTCCTATGACCATGTCATCACACATCTCTCCAAGACAGGTTTTCTGAAGAGAGCCAATGCATAGCATCACATTTGTGAGTTACCACTGTCGCTCTGCGGTTGGGTCAGAAGAGATGGCTCTCTGCCCTCAGTTGCTTTGCAGAGAGCCTGGGAAACAC